TGTCTTTCCCCTGAGGTGTTTCCCAAGTTATATCTGTTAGGAATTTTCTTATCTCCTCATAATTTCCCTTTGTTTTCTGACATGACGTGTAGACGTGATGCTGAGGGATGCTGACACTTATCTTATATGGAGGCAAATAAGGCTGAGAGTTGCTGGCATCTTAGATGAAGGCAAGCTGACTAGGTAGAATATACGGGTTCAAGGGAATATACGAGACATGCTTTTACATGAACGAACATCTATGTAGAACGGCTGAGGAGAAAACTGGAACTCAATACACTGGATGAAAGAAGAAACACGAGAAAACATGGAAACGACATTCAAAATCCAAAGATGAAGCTAAAAAAAAGTAGACACAGACGAGAGTGAATAAAAAAAATGAGGAAATTGACAAGAATAACACTTCCATTTATAAAATCTAGCGATTGGTTGAAAGGACAAACGTATCGTGGAAGTCAATATGCTCAGGAATTAATCAATACAACAGTCACAATATTTGATAAAATTGCGCCAAAATTTTAAATCTGCAACGCCATAGTACGAATATTGAACCGGATTTTTAGATTCGTTAAAAATCATGCGCGTATTCTCAATTCAAGACAACAGTGATAGGATTTTTTTTTCCTAATTCAAGTTTTCTTTGATATTTGTAATGGATAGTGTTTGTGGGTTAGAGTGTACAGAGTTAAGGGAAAAGGTTGATCCTGTGTGTTCGATAATGGTTGAATGATTTGTTGTTCAAGAGACGGTGAGGGTGTGATGACTTGAGGGACCTGAGCAATATTGAGATGCTCCTGAGACGCTTCCACGCTATAGTCCAGGAGCCTGTTTGTCCAGCACACTACTCCTGCGTCACTACACTTCTCCCACACCACTACACTCCTGCTACACCAGCATCCAAACATCTTGAACCATCTTACTCAGCCTTTACCGGGAAATGCAATATGCATCTCTGGCCGGGCCCCTTGCAGTCCGTCTGTATATATCATCTCCACACACACACACACACACACACACACACACACACACACACACACACACACACACACACACACACACACACACACACACACACACACACACACACTGTATATCATCTCCACACACACATACACACACTGTGTGTGTGTGTGTGTGTGTGTGTGTGTGTGTGTGTGTGTGTGTGTGTGTGTGTGTGTGTGTGTGTGTGCGTGTGTGTGTGTGTGAAAAAAATTAAATAAATAGTAGTAACAGTTGATTGACATTTGAGAGGCGGGCCGAAAGAGCACAGCTCAACCCCCGCAAACACGACTAGGTGAGTACAACTAGGTGAATACAACTAGATGAATACCACTAGGTGAATACCCACAGTAGAAGGGTACCTGGTAGTACTAGAGACATCCCAGGGGACGCTCTAGCACTATACCAGTAGTGAGCATTTACAACCCCTCAGAGCCCGTGTTGATATTGGCCTCCAGCCCAACCACCTTTGCCACCCACTTGCAATATTGCTCGACCATTCCGAAAGAAAATCCATTCGCCAAGTCTCGAGCAGCTGAGGGAAGTGGAGTGATCCGGGCTGTTATAGGCACAGTGGAACAGGGGACCGGCACTAATTGACATAGGAATGTTATCAAGGATGCGTATGGCGAGGTTAGTGCGCGTGTAATGGGTGTTGTTCGTGTGAGTTAACGAGCCTGGAGAGTGAACAACATTACGCAAGGGTTAATTTACATCACTTCATGCGCGTGTTAATTTAGGAGAATAACTTGTCTTAATGTGTTAATAATGATATGATTAACATAGGTTCAAGTCCTTATCACAGCTCTTCGGGGATTTTTTCATTGATATATCACGTTACTGAGACTTCTGTGAGTAGTAGTAATAATAATAATAATAATAATAATAATAATAATAATAATAATAATAATAATAATTGGTATTTTTTATAATAATATTGTATCTATATACAATAACATTTGTAACATGATACTACAGATTGATCGTAAATACTCAATATAAATTATATGGGCAATATGCCTAGAGAAGACGATCAATGATTAATGCGGCAGAATGTATGTGCAATAGTGGTTAATGGTTTATGCAAGTTGATATCATTATCAACTTGCAACTTATAACATTAATGTTATACGATATAATATACGATAATTATAAACGTATTTTTCAATACATGTCGCATGTAATATTGTAAGCAACGGTCTGAAAGAATACACAATGATCTGACGATAACGTAATGTATCTATGTAGAAACGTTTGAGCCAGGACGGAAACGTTCCGGCATTAAATACACAACAATATGTAAGTGGGTGATATGTAATAATTGGATAGGGTATATAGCTTGGTGATTGATTGATATTAAGCCACCCAAAAGGTGGCAGGGGCAGGAATAGCCCGTAATCGTAGCTCAAGTGCTTCCAGATTCCATATGGGCTTGGCAAGGCTCAAGGTTGTGTAACTTTTAGCACGTCGATGTCTAGTGTTAGGGCTCGCGTCTGGTACTGGTTCGGGACGCCGGTTCCATCCCATCCCGCAGTCCGGTTCCGAGAATTTTCTCATTCTGAAAGAAACTAATGATTGCGCGTGGCTGTGAGTGGCCCTTCGCTTAACCACCGTCCAGACGTCGTTACCGGTAAGTTAGGCTAGTTGGACGCAGTTAAGATGCACGTAAATCACTTAAGTTAGGACAGTTACGTCTTCAAGTTGTCGAGAGCAAAGTTATGAAAATGCGATCAACGCAATAGCTAATATGATGACTTTTTTTTCCTTTCTTCGTAAGTTGGTAAATGAGAACTAAGGCAAAACTCGAGAATTCTGGCGCACAGCGGAAGCAATAGCCTTTTAATGATGATCAGCATAAAAAAATCATTAACTAATAGTAATTGAATCTAGAATTGAAAACGATAAACATGCCCAAACAGCTCACCATTGCTCTGAGGATCGCATTCTGAACTACAAATGTTTACCAGTGATTGGGGAGAGCTATTTACTTGCCCCGGAGAGCAGCTGAAGCTTAAATAATGGCATGGGTGATGGTGCAGCAACGTGTGTGCACCACCATCCCCAGCACCACCATCACCAACACCACCACCATCCCCAGCACCACCACCCCCAGCACTACCACCCTCAGCACCATCCCCAGCACCACCACCCCCAACAACACCACCACCATCCCCAGCACCACCACCCCCAACACCACCATCCCCAGCACCACCCCCAGCACCACCATCCCCGGCACCACCACCCCCAACACCACCACCACCACCACCACACCTCAGCCCCCGAGAAATTAAAGTCTTAAATATTTTCCCAGTTGAAGAAATTTTATAACCGCTCTCAAATCCGATCGAAACTATTTTGCATTTTTTCACTGCATTTTTGCCTCTAAACTCGCATTATTAAAAGATAGAGCAAGTAGACTGGAGAATTAAGTATTGATATATACGTTTTTTTTAATTAAATTGCTTCGTTTTGCCGAATGGTTCGCCCGGTTAAGTTCCATTAGAGAATTAGATTAGTCAGAGAGAAGTTCAGGGGCAGGACGTGAAGAATTGTTTCTCTCTCAAAGCAGCAATACATTTCTTGAATTCTGGCGTATTCGTACGCAAGGTTCGTGAGGTGAAGCTGTATTTATTGTGGTAATTCATTACCACAATACATACAGCTTCAGGTTCTTGAAGAACCTGAAGAACCTGAAGAAGTTCAGGTTCTTCATGTTGTGTGAAACTGGTTCACTTACTTAGTAGCTAGAGAAGCTGGTTCACTCACCAATAGATCGTGAAGCTGGTTAATTCACTAATAGATCGTGAAGCTGGTTCCTTCACTAATAGATCGTGAAGCTGGTTCACTCACTAATAGATCGTGAATCTGGTTAATTCACTAATAGATCGTGAATCTGGTTCACTCACTAAAAGATCGTGAATCTGGTTAATTCACTAATAGATCGTGAAACTGGTTCACTCACTAATAGATCGTGAAGCTGGTTCTCTCACTAATTGATCGTGAAGCTGGTTCACTCACTAATAGATCACGGAACTGGTCTTACCTCGCTAAATCCTATGTGAAAGATCCGAGTTTCCACAAGTCGTTTACGTTTGAAATGGAGCGAGTAAAGGTTAGGGTAAGTTAGGTTAGGTTAGGGTAGGTTAGGTTAGGTTAGGGTAGGTTAGGTTAGGGTAGGTTAGGGTAGGTTAGGTTAGGTCTTTCACGAGGTTATTATAATGTTATGAAGGATGAAAGCACTATAACCGTACAGAAGACATTAGTTTAATATCTCTATGTTACAGGGCCTGATAGCTGAGTGGACAGCGCTTCGGATTCGTAGTTCTGAGGTTCCGGGTTCGATTCTCCGGTGGAGGCAGAAACAAATGGGTAGAGTTTCATTCATCCTGATGCGTCTGGTCACCTAGCAGTAAATAAGTACCTGGGAGTTAGACTGTTGCTACGGGCTGTTTCCTAGGGGTGTGTAATAAAAAAGAGGCCTGGTCGAGGACCGGGCCACGGGGACACTAAGCCCCGAATCATCTCAAGATTACCTTTCAAGATGTTGACAAACTATTACTTTGGGTAATATTTAATTTGACATTTTTAAAAACCTTCGAAGAAATGTTGTGATTTGCATCTACCTTCATTGTTGTCTTTTGTGCAAGCCGAGGCGGAGAACGTCTTGACATAAACTATTACTTTATTACAGTGATGCAACCTTCGCCATCTTAAATAACATTCTTGCTCGATTGTATTTAAAGTATTCTTGACTTCTGGGAGTAATTCTCTTCTGAAGTTCTCGTCTAATATTTATGTAATATTCTCTCTCTCTCTCTCTCTCTCTCTCTCTCTCTCTCTCTCTCTCTCTCTCTCTCTCTCTCTCTCTCTCTCTCTCTCTCTCTCTCTCTCTCTCTCTCTCTCTCTCTCTCTCTCTCTCTCTCTCTCTCTCTCTCTCTGTTGTCCTCTGCAATCTGTATCATCCTCCTCCTGGATATTTACATTTCTCATTTATCATCGTTTTAGCATTCTTTCCTGTTAGATGTTACGCCAATACGTTCCTTCATTCTTAGGGGAAATATAATGTAATCGTTCCTGCACAACCTCATTCCGCCCTGCCACGCATCTTTACATTCCTCGTTAATCTGGATTAAAACTGCATCATTCCACACTCCCGCTGGACCTAAGCTCTCGTATATCACAGTTTGCTGCAGGTACCCCGAGTTGCCCCCCTCGGGGCAATGTTGCTTTTGAGTTGTCATTCTACACTGACCAGATTCGTGAAACATTGTGACGACAGTCCTGTTTGGTTGAGTCTGGTGGGTTGTCGTGATGAGTGAGTGTAGAGCGTTGGGTGTGGTAGCGTGTTGAGCTGTGGTGGTGGTGGTGGTGTCTGGTTTGGTGTCTCTGGCGGTGTATCCTTCACCGGTGGTGTCCCTGGCGGTGTGTCCTCCACTGGCGGTGTCCCTGGCTGTGTGTCCTCCACTGGCGGTGTCCCTGGCGGTGTGTCCTCCACCGGTGGTGTCCCTGGCGGTGTGTCCTCCACTGGCGGTGTCCCTGGCTGTGTGTCCTCCACTGGCGGTGTCCATGGCTGTGTCCTCCACTGGCGGTGTCCCTGGCTGTGTGTCCTCCACTGGCGGTGTCCCTGGCTGTGTGTCCTCCACTGGCGGTGTCCCTGGCTGTGTGTCCTCCACTGGTTGTGTCCCTGGCTGTGTGTCCTCCACTGGCGGTGTCCCTGGCTGTGTGTCCTCCACTGGCGGTGTCCCTGGCGGTGTGTCCTCCACCGGTGGTGTCCCTGGCGGTGTGTCCTCCACCGACGGTGTCCCAGGCTGTGTGTCCTCCACCGGTGGTGTCCCTGGCTGTGTGTCCTCCACCGGTGGTGTCCCAGGCTGTGTGTCCTCCACCGGTGGTGTCCCTGGCTGTGTGTCCTCCACCGGTAGTGTCCCTGGTGGTGTGTCCTCCACCGGTGGTGTCCTTGGCGGTGTGTCCTCCACCGGTGGTGTCCCTGGCTGTGTGTCCTCCACCGGTGGTGTCCCTGGCGGTGTGTCCTCCACCGGTGGTGTCCCTGGCTGTGTGTTCTCAACCGGTGGTGTCCCTGGCTGTGTGTTCTCAACCGGTGGTGTCCCTGGCGGTGTATCCTCCACCGGTGGTGTCATCTGGAGAGAAATAGCTTCGTAACACACCACCAACATGGGTTCAGGGATGGTAAATCGTGCCTCACAGGCTAAATAGAATTTTATGATCAGGCGACAAAAATTAGGCAAGAAAGAGAAGGGTGGGCAGACTGGATTTTCTTGGACTGTCAGAAAGCCTTTGACACATTACCCCATAAGAGGCTGTTACAAAAGTTGGAGAAACAGGCAGGAGTAAAAGGTAAGGTGCTCCAGTGGATAAGGGAGTATCTAAGCAACAGGAAACAGCGAGTAACTGTGAGGGGGGGGGAAGGAAGTGACAGAGTGGCGAGATGTCACCAGATAGACAGAGACTACAGGATGACCTGGACAAACTGGAGGAATGGTCTAGAAAATGGCTACTAAAGTTCAACTCAGGAAAGTGTAAAGTAATGAAATTAGGCGAAGGGAGCAGAAGGCTGAACACAAGGTACCATCTGGGAGGTGAAATCCTGCAAGAGTCAAATAGAGAGAAAGATCTGGGGGTTGATATCACACCGAACCTGTCCCCAGAGGCCCACATCAAAAGGATATCATCAGCGGCATATGCTAGGTTGGCCAACATAAGAACTGCCTTTAGAAACTTGTGTAAGGAATCGTTCAGGACCTTGTATACCACTTATGTCAGACCAATCCTGGAATATGCAGCTCCAGCCTGGAGTCCATACCTAGTTAAACACAAGACAAAGTTAGAGAAGATTCAGAGGTATGCCACCAGACTAGTCCCGGAACTGAGAGGTATGAGCTACGAGGAAAGGCTAAGGGAGCTAAACCTCACGTCCCTGGAAAACAGAAGAGTAAGGGGAGACATGATAACCACCTACAAAATTCTCAGGGGAATTGACAGGGTGGACAAAGACAAACTCTTTAGCACGGGTGGAACACGAACAAGGGGACACAGGTGGAAACTTAGTACCCAAATGAGCCACAGAGACATTAGAAAGAATTTTTTCAGTGTCAGAGTAGTTAACAAATGGAATGCATTAGGCAGTGATGTGGTGGAGGCTGACTCCATACACAGTTTCAAATGTAGATATGATAGAGCCCAGTAGGCTCAGGAATCTGTACACCAGTTGATTGACAGTTGAGAGGCGGGACCAAAGAGCCAAAGCTCAACCCCCGCAAGCACAACTAGGTGAGTACACGCGGTTGGTAATTATTGGAATTATTGTGATTTTTGGTTGCTAATGAAAAGTTCCCCGTGAAAAAAATATATGTACAAACTTTTTCAGAATCCTTTCATATCGTTCTAAAGATTACATCCATCATTTCCAAATTTAATATATAAAAAGTCTGCGTTTATATAGGCAATGTCATGTTTAAAATTCTGTTGACAGTTATTTATTTGATTCGAAGTCATATGACTTCAATTTCTATTGATGTAATTGTAGGGAGTTGTTTTTGAGCTGAATTCCAAGGAAAATATTATTGCAGTTTGGCAATGCACGTTACCGTTTTCTTTCAGTCATGGTTGCTCTCAAAGAAAATGTTCCAACATGGGCGGATTTCGATGGCTAACAATGGTATTTTTATTGTACGATAGTTGATTACGTTTTGTATATATTAAAAACGTCAAAGGTTTACGAATAAGTTAAATCACTATTTATCAAGGCCAGAACATAAACTGGTTTAGAATTCTTTCTTTTGATAATTATTTTAAAATAAAAATTTAAGTCATACTATCGTTTATGTAATTATAGCATCCCTTTTTGTGAATGAGTTGCTTTTGCAAGTAAAATATTATTGTTATTTGGAAATGTTAATTTCCATGCTCTTTTAGATATATTTCGACCAAAGAAAACGTAAGATATTATATAGATTTCAATGGCAAACTATGGTATTTGTAAATTTGTAAGGTAAGTTGATAAAATTTCGTTTAAATTTATATGTTCAAAGTTTATGAGTAAGTTGTGGGAAAAACCTGCTGGGATTGATATAAGAGGAGACTACCAGGGACTTGTACTGAACTAAATTAAAAAATTACTGTCTGCAAATTAATTCAATTAAAATCTCTAGCTAGGGTTGTAAATCCTAAATCCTCTTTTCCTAATGACAGACTGTGGGCTGTAAGGGACAGGTGGGGTGAATGACTATGTTGATAGAAGTTCCAATCCACCTGTAGACAGGGATCTCACATCAGCTTGTATTTTATACAAGGATAAGATTTTGATAAATTCAGTATATGACTGAACACTGGCTCTGTTTAAATCAGGGATTTAAACATACATAGTCTAACCTAGTACCATAACTTAACAGCAATATGTACTTATACTATAAACAACAAATTAATTGTAAAAGTATAAATAAATGACCTTAAATGTAGTCTTAATACTATTAACTTAGTACTAGAAATTATATTCAATTAAATGAACTTATATGATAACTTAAAAATTAACTAAGCAAGCTATTGATAACTTAATTTATATATTCAAATATATATGCAGACATATTCAATTTATACAGTTAGCTTGACTGAATCTCTTCCAAGACTGTGGACACTTGTGAGGTTTTACTTATTGAGGCTGAATTCTTTTCTGACAGAATGGACACTCATGAGGTTCAGTGCTTGGATAAGATTCACAGCTACACTACAATTTTAATAAACTTACTGAAATGTGAGGCTTAGCCTCGCTTTTTAACCAACAGACAGATTTATAGGATATTAAAGCTACACAAGCATACAATTGGCCAATCATACACTAAATAACCTTCAATATACTTCTCTGCCAGTCGGGGTGCCTGTCTGACAAGTTTGCCAGACTGATTAACTCTCTTGTCGAGTTTAGGCACGATATTTTGCTACAGCGTTGCTGTATGATGATCTGGTAGCGTTGCTACGTGATTATCCTGCAGTTGCAGAAGAATGATTCGAGATAAAAGTTTATGAATGAAGGTGGAGGAAACCGTGTCACTGATCTCCACTATACACTCTATTTTATGTGAATGTTCACGGATTTTCCTTGTAGATATTGTCCAGGTACTCCCCCAGTTCTAGAGAGTATTCACTGGCGATAAAAATGTTAGATAAGGTGTCCTTGAGCTGGTAATGTTCGCTAAGGATCAGTCACTTGTTCACTCATTTGTAAACAAACGCGGAGTGCCGCTGGGCTTGTTGGTGGGCGCTTCTCTCCCCCCCATCGCCCTGCCATGCTCTCTGAGCACGGTAGCCTTCTATGAATATTGATTGATTATTTTTACAGTCTAGACTTATGATTAAGATAAGATGTGATTATAATATAATTAGATATAAGATTTAAAGATTATAAGTAGTATTTGTAAGTACCACTGAATCTTATTAAGGATTTGATTTTTAATCCTACCGGATGTTGAATCAATGTTCCAATAGTTTTTTAATTAAGAAGTCCTTCTAGAAGCTTCTGGATCCTTGAAAGATCATGTACAAAGTCACGTAGGCATCAAAAGGGCCCCTGTTGCGTACGTGTTCATGGTGCCATTGTCATCCAGGATCAAGCTATATAATGAATCTTTAAAGATTCATTATATGATTTTGATACAATTTAGATATGATTTTGATATGATTTAGATATGATATAGAAATTATACATTTCTTAGATGATTATTAGATATGGTGGGTAAAAATTTCCCACATCTTCCAGAGGGAGAGAACTGGCACAGAGTCCAATACTTAGGACAATAGTAACCATATGTATTTATTTACTCTCCATGGATTGATAATACAAGTGCAAATTTTGCTTGCACTTTTGTGCTGCTGTCCGTTGTGGACGATTGTGTCTGTTAGGAGTCTGTGGGTCTTGTGGAGTTAGAGTCTCTTGAGGTCTCTCAGGATCTAACTGCAGCCGACTCACTGATTCCATGTGGATGAGTTTGTCCAATGTCTTCAGGGAAGTTGTTCCTTTGGACAGGATTTTGACTATTCTCAAAATCCCTGACTATCTGGATGGACTGAGACAATTTTACCTAATGGCCAGTCAGCCCTAGGGCCATCACTGTCTACCAAGACAATATCGCCAGGTTGGAGATTAGATATAATATGTGGGACATTGGCCCCATAGTGATGTTCTCGTAGAGAGTAAGTATCTTTAGATGAAGCATTCTTTTGTCCAAACATCATTCCATTTTTGGATTATGCTGGACAGATGCTTATACCCCTGAACCAACTCGCTCTGACCCACATATGAGGGATCTCTGATCTCATCATCCACTAGAGATGGTGCTGGAGTCAGAAGTCTTCCATACATTAGGTGGGCAGGACTTAATGGCTCATGTTGAGTAGGATCCTCAGACAAGTAAGTCAACGGCCGGTTATTCACCCTTGATTCTATTTCCGTGATTACTGTCTGGAGTTCTTGAAGATTGATTTTCTGACGGTGTAGAGATTTTCTCAAGGATCTTTTTACAGTTCCTATTAAACGTTCATAAAATCCTCCGTGCCATGGGGCTCTCGGAGGGATAAATTTCCATCTGCAATGACGCTGTTCCAGTGTGGAAGTAACTGCAGGATGGGAACAGATTTCCCGTAGACATGCTTCTCCAGCTACCAAGTTTGCTCCATTATCTGAAATCATCAGCTTAGGGCATGATCGGCGTGCTGCGAATCTGCGGAAAGCTTGAATAAATGATTGAGCAGTCATATCGGGTGTTACCTCTAGATGTACTGCCCTGGTGGTAGCACCGGTAAAACAGACAGATGGATGCCTTGATAGCTGTTGCTTATCTGCAAGTCCCTGTTAGATATATTGCTCCTGTATAATCTACTCCTGTCGTTTCGAAAGGTTGTAGATGGACCACTCGTTCCTTTGGTAGGGTGGTGGCCCTGGATAAGAGCAAGTTTTTGCATCGTACCTTCGGCATATCATGCAATTCTTCAAGATTGATTTGACTGACTGTCTTCCCTGAGGAATCCAGTACTGCTGTCTGATTTGTGTGAGTGTGTCTAACACTCCTCCATGTTTGATGATTTGTTGATGTGTATGCAACACAATCAACCTTGTGATCCAATGATTTTTTGGTAAAAGCCATGGATGCACCGTATCTAGATT